TGCAAGGCTTATAGTGATGAGTATTACCGAGAGGGCCCAGAGATACCTCTCCGAAACACGGAGTGACAGATCCTAATCTCGATCTATGCCAACCCAACAAACACCTTCGGAGACACCTTTAGAGCACCTTTATAATCATCCATTTACGTTGTGACATTTGGTAGCACACAAAGTGTTCCTCCGGTATTCGGGAGTTACATAATCTCATAGTCTGAGGACCATGTATAAGTCATGAAGAGAGCAGTAGCAATGAAACTATAACGATCATAATGCTAAGCTAACGGATGGGTCATGTCCATCACATAATTCTCCTAATGATGTGACCCCGTTCATCAAATGACAACACATGTCTATGGTTAGGAAACATAACCATTTTGATTAACGAGCTAGTCAAGTAGAGGCATACTAGGGACACTATGTTTTGTCTATGTATTCACACATGTATTCTGGTTAATACAATTCTAGCATGAATAATAAACATTTTATCATGAAATAAAGAAATAAATAATAACTTTATTATTGCCTCTAGGGCATATTTCCTTCAGTCTCCCACTTGCACTAGAGTCAATAATCTAGTTCACATCGCCATGTGATTTAACATCAATAGTTCACATGTATATGTGATTAACACCCATAGTTCACATCGCCATGTGACCAACAACCAAAGGGTTTACTAGAGTCAATAATCTAGTTCACATTGCTATGTGATTAACACCCAAATATTACTAAGGTGTGATCATGTTTTGCTTATGAGAGAAGTTTAGTCAACGGGTCTGTCACATTCAGAGTCGTATGTATTTTGCAAATATTCTATGTCTACAATGATCTGTATGGAGCTACTCTAGCTAATGGCTCCAACTTTCAATATGTATCCAGATTGAGACGTAGAGTCATTTGGATTGGTGTAAAAGCTTGCATCGACGTAACTTTTTTACGACGAACTCTTTATCACCCCCATTACCGAGAAACATTCCTTAGTCCTTACTAAGGATAATTTTGACCACTGTCCAGTGATATACTCTTAGATCACTATTGTACCCCCTTGCCAAACTCATGACAAGGTACACAATAGGTCTGGTACACAACACAACATACTTTATAGAACCTATGGCTGTGGCATAGGGAATGACTTTCATTCTCTTTCTATCTTCTGCCGTGCTCGGGCTTTGAGTCTTACTCAACTTTACACCTTGTAATACAGACAAGAACTTCTTCTTTGACTGATCCATTTTGAACTCTTTCAAAAACTTGTCAAGTCATTTACTCATTGAAAAATCTTATCAAGCGCCTTGATCTATCTATAGATCTTGATGCCCAATATGTAAGCAGCTTCACGGAGGTCTTTGATTGAAAAACTCTTATTCAAGTATCCCTTTGTGCTATCCAGAAATTCTACATCATTTCCAATCAACAATATGTCATCCACATATAATATTAGAAATGCTACAGAGCTCCCACTCACTTTCTTGTAAATACAGGCTTCACCGCAAGTCTGTATAAAACTATATGCTTTGATCAACTCATCAACGCGTATATTCCAACTCTGAGATGCTTGCACCAGTCCATAGATGGATCGCTGGAGCTTGCACACCTTGCTAGTACCTTTAGGATTGACAAAACCTTCTGGTTGCATCATATACAACTCTTCTTTAAGAAATATCTATTTAAGGAATGTAGTTTTGACATCCATTTGCCAGATTTCATAAAATATGGCAATTGCTAACATGATTCGGACGGATTTAAGCATCGCTATAGTTGAGAAAATCTCATTGTAGTCAACACCTTGATCTTGTCGAAAACCTTTTTGCGACAAGTCGAGCTTTGTAGATAGTAACACTACTATCAGTGTCCGTCTTCCTCTTGAAGATCCATTTATTCTTAATGGCTTGCCGATCATCGGACAAGTCCACCAAAGTCCAGACTTTGTCCTCATACATGGATCCCATCTCAGATTTCATAGCCTCAAGCCATTTCGCGGAATCTGGGCTCATCATCACTTCCTCATAGTTTGTAGGTTCATCATGGTCTAGTAACATGACTTCCAGAATAGGATTACTGTACTACTCTGGTGCAGATCATACTCTGGTTGATCTACGAGGTTCAGTAGTAACTTGATTTGAAGTTTCATGATCATCATCATTAGCTTCCTCACTAATTGGTGTAGGAGTCACTAGAACTGATTTTTGTGATGAACTACTTTCCAATTTGGGAGAAGGTACAATTACCTCATCGAGCTCTACTTTCCTCCCACTCACTTCTTTCGAGGGAAACTCCTTCTCTAGAAAGGATCCATTTTTAGCAATGAATATTTTGCCTTCTGATCTGTGATAGAAGGTGATTGTTAGAGATAATCACAATTAGGCACCTGAGTCCGGCACGAACTCGTAGCCCAGCCTGAGTCAGTTATGTATAGGTAGATAGGTAGTGCTATATATACATGTACATGGTTTCCCATGTAATCATCAGATCAATGTAATAAAGATCAGCAGGACCGATACGGCCCTGTAGCCATCAAATCGGCGTAACCTGTTCCCGGCTAGTTGTGCTAGTTCACATCCATCAATCCTTGCGGCGTTGCATAGCTTGTAGCTAGCCACCACAAAAGCATCCACCTGCTACCCTGCCTGCTTAGGTTACGCGTACGCATGCATCTTCTCCAAAGGAAACCGATCAGCCGATTAGCGCAACTAGCGGCTGCTGCGTACGTACGGGCACCGGCGGAAAGTACTCATCCGGAGTGACGTCTGACGCGGGCCTGAGGCCAACAATTGGTATCAGAGCTTTGGTGTATTGGCGTGATTCTCAGAAAGTACTCGAAGGATCATGTCAAACACAGGCAAGGAGATCATGATGGCAGCAGCGGGAGCACCGATGCCAATGGTGGGGGTGTCGCAATTCCCCCGTCTGGATCGAGAGGACTAGCACTATGGGCGATGAACATGGAGGTATCAATGGAGGGAGCTGAGTACTGGGAAGCCGTCGACCCCGGCGGCACCGAGTACGCGAAGGGGGCGGCAAAGTACCAGAAGGATCGTCAGGCGTTAACGGTGATCTACTCCGCCATGCCGAAGGATGTGCTGCAATGATACGTCCATTTTGCATCATGCTTTTATATCAATATTTATTGCATTATGGGCTGTTATTACACATTATATCTCAATACTTATGGCTATTCTCTCTTATTTTACAAGGTTTACCATGAAGAGGGGGAATGCCGGCAGCTGGAATTCTGGCTGGAAAAGGAGCAAATGTTGGAAACCTATTCTGCACAACTTCAAAAGTCCTGAAACTCCACGAAACCACCTTTTGGATTTATTAAGAATTTATGAGTGAAAGAAATAGGCCAGGGGGCCCACACCCTATCCAGGAGACAGGGGGGCGCGCCCCCCCTATAGGGCGCCCCCTATCTCCTGGCCCCCCTAGTGGGCCTCCGGCGACCATCTTCTGCTATATGAAGGGTTTTGTCCTGGAAAAATTCGTGGGCAAGCTTACGGGACGAAACTCCGCCGCCACGAGGCGGAACCTTGGCAGAATCAATCTTGGGCTCTGGCGGAGCTGTTCTGCCGGGGACACTTCCCTCTGGGAGGGGGAAATCATCACCAACGTCATCACCAACGATCCTCTCATCGGGAGGGGGTCAATCTCCATCAACATCTTCACCAGCACCATCTCCTCTCAAACCCTAGTTCATCTCTTGTATCCAATCTTGTGTCCAAAACCACAAATTGGTACCTGTGGGTTGCTAGTAGTGTTGATTACTCCTTGTAGTTGATACTTATTGGTTTACTTGGTGGAAGATTATATGTTCAGATCCTTAATGCATATTATTACACCTCTGATTATGAACATGATTATGCTTTGTGAGTAGTTACTTTAGTTCCTGAGGACATGGGTGAAGTCTTGCTATTAGTAGTCATGTGAATTTGGTATTCGTTCGATATTTTGATGAGATGTATGTTGTCTTTCCTCTAGTGGTGTTATGTGAACGTTGACTACATGACACTTCACAATTATTTGGGCCTAGAGGAAGGCATAGGGAAGTAATAAGTAGATGATGGGTTGCTAGAGTGACAGAAGCTTAAACCCTAGTTTATGAGTTGCTTCGTTAGGGGTTCATATGGGCCCATATGTTTAATGCCGTGGTTAGGTTTACCTTAATACTCCTTTTTGTAGTTGCGGACGCTTGCAATAGGGGTTAATCATTAGTGGGATGCTTGTCCAAGTTAGGGCAGTACCCAAGTGTCGGTCCACCCACATATCAAATTATCAAAGTACCGAACGAGAATCTTACGAACGTGATGAAACTAGCTTGACGATAATTTCCAATGTGTCCTCGGGAGCTTCTTCCTTATTATTAGAATTTGTCCAGGCTTATCTTTGCTACATAAAGGATTGGGCCACCTTGCTGCACTTTATTTACTTTATTTACTTTTGCTCACTACTATTTATCCTATCACAAAACTATCTATCACCTACTATTTCAGTGCTTGCAGAGAAAACCTTACTGAAAACCGCTTATCATTTCCTTCTGCTCCTCGTTGGGTTCGACACTCTTACTTATCGAAAGGACTACGATAGATCCCCTACACTTGTGGGTCATCATGCAACACATCGTCGGAAAGAACTCGACGAAGGAGGCATGCGAGACCATCAAGATCATGCACCAGGGTCATGACCGTGTCAACGAAGCACACCTTCAGTCCCTGATGAGAAGCTACCAGTGCCTGAAGATGGATAAAAGTGAGACGGTTGATCAGTTTGCCTCTCGTCTCAAGACCCTCGTCAACGGCATACGCAGCTATGGTTCAACCCTAGAAGAAGTTGCGATCGTCTGATGATTTTTGCGCGCCGCACCGGCATGCTACATCCAGATCGTCACGTCGATTGAGCAATGTCTCAACCTGAAAACTCTCATGGTTGAGGATGTCGTCAGAAGGTTCAAGGCCCACGACAAGAGAATTTGTCTCAGTTTCAGCGACACGAAGGCGAGTGTGCACCTGATGCTGACAAAGGCGCAATGTATTGATCTATCAAAAGAAAAGCAGGGCGGATCTAGGAGCAGCGCCAAGAAGAAGGGGAAAGGGAAGCAACACTCGGCGAGAAAGAACTTTGTTGACTCGGACGATGAGGATGCGCCTGCACCACCGAGGAGGAAGTTTGACATCAGAAAAGTGAGGTGTCATAAGTGTGGCCTCCTCGGTCACTTCAAGGCTAACTGCGAGGAAGCACCGAAGCAGCGGGCGCTCATTGCCGAGGAAGGAGACGACAGGGATATGATGCTGATGTGAAATCTAGTGGACGAGGAGGATCCAGATGATCTTGGTCAGCTAGACATGGGTCTGGTCAGTGCATCTGCGCCATTAAACCGAGGTGATGTTGTGGCGCCAGAAGACCATGGCACAAGGCGTGATGATGTGGTCATGCCAGTAAAACCAGGCGAATTCGTGGCACCAGAAGACCATGACACAACGCGTGATGGTGTGGTCACGCTGAAAGAAGACGAGGACGTGAGACCAGAAGTCCATGATGCAGGCAAAATTGTGGCACCGGAAGACCACGATGCACTAGTCGAGCAAAGCGCGTACACGACGGATGACACGGTGAGGCCTACGGGCGTAGTGTCAAAGGACAGCGAGGCAATTCTGAGAGGGTCCGTTGCTAAAACACACGCGTCCAGCAGTGACCTCGTGCAGCATGCCGAGCATCCAGACGGAAGCGGCGCTCAGCCAATAACGCTCGTACGCAGCAGCAACTCCGTTGAAAGGAGTCAACTTCCACGTGGTGGCCAAGCACGGAGAGAAGCGGTGCGAATCCTAGAAAATTTGAAAGGTGCATTTGGTTCAGAAAAGAACGCATGAGGGAGCTCACAAGCACGTGAAGGCCCAGCAGTTTTGGTGCTTGAAGAGTATTCACTGAAATCTTTGGCTGATTTCTTTGGTGTTCCTGTGAGTGGTTCTAGAGGCTCTCCAGAGAGCAGTTCGCAAGGGCCAGAAACGCCAGAAATAGGAGGGTTGGCAACCTCAGAAGATGTGGTGTCACCTCCAATAGAACTGGAGATGACGGAGCAACCACATTCACCAGTACGCATGCAATGCATGTTGGAACTCTGTCCGAAGGAAGCACTTCAAATAAATTTGGTGAAGATGAAAAGTAAAGGGCAATGATGTTTCCACATGAGGAACCGGAAAATTTTGAAGACGCAAAGACAAAAGAGCATTGGCATCGTGCTATGGATGAAGAGTTGTGGTCGATTCGAGACAACGATACATGGGAGCTCGCGGATCTTCCCAACAGACATAATGCCAGGAGCTCAAGTGGGTGTACAAAGTCAAGAAGGATGCCAAAGGGAACTTGGTGAAGCATAAAGCAAAGCTCATGGATAAATCAAACATGCAAGACCAAGGTATGTACTTCAAAGAAGTGTTCGCTCCACTTGCAAGGATGGACACGGTGAGGCTACTTATAGCTCTCCCGGCTCAAGAATCTTGGAGGATACATGATATGGATGTGAACTCCGCATTTTTGATTGGGGAGTTAGAAGAAGAGTTGTATGTGAAGCAACCACCAGGATACAACCAAGAAGGAGAGGAGCACAAGGTATTGAAGCTACACAAGGCAGTGTATAGGCTACGACAAGTTCCTCGGGCATGGAATATTAAGCTTGACCGTACATTGATTTCTCTTGGATTTGAGAAAGCCCCACTAGAGCATACAATGTATAAGCGAGGTAAAGGCAAGGATCGTCTCTTAGTGAGAATCTATATATGTGGATGATCTGTTGATAACTGGAGCAGACGAAGAGGTGATTGGAAACTTCAAGCTACAAATGGAGGAGCCATTCAAGATGACTGATCTAGGGCTCTTGAGTTACTACCTTGGGATAGAGGTACAATAAAAGCCGGAGGGGATCACACTATGCCAGGAGGCATATGCAAAGAAGATAGTTGAAAGTTGTAGCATGGAAGATTGCAATCCAAGTCATGTTCCGATGAAGCCTCGTGTTGTTCTAAGCAAGAAGAGTGAAGCACCCGCAATTGATGCAACAGAGTATAGAAGTATGGTCTGAAAGCTGAGGTATCTCACGAATACAAGACCGGACTTGGCCTATTCTGTTGGCATAGTGAGTCGCTTCATGGAAGCACCCACGACAGAACACTGGGCAGCTGTGGAAAATATACTCAGGTACATCAAAGGGACAAAAAATTTCGGTTCTGTCTATTTGAGAGAGAAGAAGAAGGAGATGGTGGAGCCACTTGGCTATAGTGATAGCGACATGGCAGGAGATGTGGACGACGTAAAAGTACCTCAGGCGTGGCATATTTCTTGGCAGGAAGCATAGTGAGTTGGCTATCACAAAAGCAGAAGGTAGTCGCATTATCATCTCGTGAAGTGGAGTATATTGCAGCTGCAACCACGGTGTGTCAAGGCATGTGCATTGGAAGGCTACTCGGTGACCTCACAGGTAAGGAACCGGAGTGAGTGGTGCTCAACATTGACGACAAGTCTACAATCTCTCTGTGGAAGAATACAATGCATCATGATAGACACAAGCACATTGATACGAGGTATCGGTACCTAAGGGAGTGCATGGAAGAAAGTAAGATTGACGTCAACTTCGTTTTCACCGACGAACAGCTTGCAGATATCCTAACCAGATCTTTGGGACGACAGAAGTTCGTGAAGATGCGGCGAAGGATCGGCGTCCAAGCTGTAAAGTAAGGACATCGTGTTTAGGGGGGTGATTGTTGGAATAAACCATGATGTGGCCTTGTTCGGCTCGGAGATGGTACAATCACCTCATAGTACTACTAGGATTAGAACTTGGTAACCGGCTAGGTTAGATTGAGTTGGTCCTAGATACTATATATACGGAGGTATACCCTTGTAAGATTATCAGATCAAAGCAATAACAAATCTCAGGAGCAACATGCTCCTGTTGTCATACATCGACGCCTTGTGTTCATGTGTCCTACTAGTTGAGAATCAGCAGCCGGCAACGTGTACGTATAGGCGTACATAAGTTGTGGCCTGCCAACTTGCTCCTTGAATATGTACGCGTGTATCTCAACGGCCGAAAGTACAGGTTATCCGAATCGCGTCGTATAAAGTATGCCGGAAAGTACTCGATGTATGGGTCTGTGCCAAGGCCGCAGGTCACATTAAGGGCATAGTCCCGCATCTAGTTGGGGGGAATGGGATATCCCTCCTCCAATATGCGGATGACACCATTATCATGGTGGAAGGCTCGGAGACCGACATCATGAATTTGAAGTTCCTTCTGCTGTGCTTCCATCAGATGTCTAGTCTCAGGATCAACTTTGATAAGAGTGCAGTAATGGTATTGGGGTACCCCCCAAGATGAGCGGCAGAGCATCACGGATCAGCTCAATTGCCAGCTTGGGTGTTTCCCCACGACTTATCTGGGGATCCCCATTAGTGACTCGAGACTCGCGGTGGCTGAGCTTTGCCCCACGGTTGGGAAGCTTCAACACCGCATTGAGCCTTGGCAAGGCCGATGGCTCTCGAAGGTGGACCGGGCAGTGCTTATTAACTTGTCCCTTGCCAGCCTACTCTTGTTCATCATGAGCTTCCATCGCCTTCCAGAGACTCTGCATCACGAGATTGCCACTGTTCAGGGATGCTTGTTCTGGGCCGGCAAGGGCGACAAGCAGAAATACCACATGGTGCGTTGGTCGGAGATCTGTAAACCGCGCGACCAGGGTGGTCTCGGGATCATGTCCTCCAAACGCATGAACATTACCCTCGTAACATGTTGGTTGTGGCGGATTGCCAATGGAGAGGGTGGCCTGTGGCTTCGCATCATTCAGCAGCAAATACCTCCGTGGCCAACCCCTCGCCTTCTGCCAGCGGTCTGGAGGTTCCCAATTCTGGCAATCCATCATTCAGCTGCTGCCGATCCTCCGCATTGGCACCTCGATCGCGGTTGGCTCGGGCACCTCCACAATGTCCTGGTTCGATAGATGGGCTGGGGACCTTCCCCTCACAACGTGCTTTCCCAACCTATTCTCCATGATAGTTGACCCGCGGATCTCAAAGGACAGCCCTTATTGACTTAGGGCAACTTGCGTTCCGGAGAGCGTTTGGCCCGGCTGAGAACGCGGACTGGCATGAGCTGCTGGAATGCATCGTGCTGCACGAGCTTGATCTTGAGGTTGGAGAAGACCATGCCAGGTGGCGACTAGAGCCATCTGGGTAATTCTCCACTAAATCTCTTTACCAGGCCATCGCACCTTTGCTGGGCCATGAGGCACTCACCTCCATCTGGGAGATTCGGCTCCCATTGAAGATTAGGATTTTCTTGTGGCAATGGATTCGTAGCCGCCTCCCTTTCGACGTGGAGGTTCTGAAGCGCAATGGCCCACGGGATGGGAGCTACCCGCTTTGCGGGCCTAAAGAGGATTTGAACCATATCTTCTTCACTTGCGTGTCCACGCAGTTCCTATGGAGCTATTTCCGTGAAATAGTGGGCGGAAGCTGGGACCACAACAACTTCCCCGCTCTTTTCGCGGAACTCCAGGCGTTAGCTCCCCCAATTCGCCACATTAGGTGGCAGGTCATCGGGGTGCTAACCTGGACGTTGTGGACTGTTAGGAATAAACTTGTGATTCAGCGCATTCCTCTTCGTTGCGCTACTGATGCTCTGTTCAAATGGTCTGGGTACTTGCAGCTTTGGCGGCCGCTTAGCCGTCCCCGGGAGAGAGACGCCATCACCTCCATCATCACCCAGCTTCGGTCGATGGCTCTCCGGATGGCTCCTCTACTTCCCCTCCATCGTCGAAGCCAGATTAGATCGTCTACACCTCGCCACTGCCGTTGTGTGTTGTGTGTGTCTTGCATTGGGCTTGTTGTGCAGTACCCACAACTGAACCTGGGTTTCGTTTGTGTTTGTGTCCGTCGGACCTGTCTGGTGGCTTTGTGTGTGTTTGTGTTGTGTGGTTGGAACCTTGTTACTTTGTGCTCATGGTTGCTTTATTTATAAAGCGGGGCGAAAGCCTTTTTCGATATATAAACAAGAGCAGGACGTAGGGTTTTACCTCCATCAAGAGGGCACGAACCTGTGTAAATATAGTCTCCCTATTCCTGCCACCCTCGATCCAAGATCCATAGCTCGGGACCCCCTACTCCAAGGTCTGCCAGATTCCACACCGACAGGGGGCTAATGGATCACCTTGCCGAAGCCCACATAGTGGTGCAAATGAATCCAAGATGGTTTAATTTAATTTAATATAATACCTACCCATGTGACACATGTCATAATCCAGTCAAT